GGCATTGATGAAGACTTGACAGCCATAGAGCACCAAAATAGCCAAAGGCCACCTGCCCTCCCTTGTGATGGAGCTTGGAAGTCCTTGTCAAACCCTAGTCTCCTTAGGAACTTAAGTGCAGCAGTAGCTGTGTCTGTTTTTGTCTCTAGAAAACATGACATTTGGACGATTCATCTTAATTAGCTCTCAACACTCTCTTTCCAAGGCGCCATGTTGAACCCCCCTGTTATTCCATTGTCATAATCCGATTTTTCATTCAGCTTATTTAAGCTTTTCATATAAAAAAAAAAACAACAAAAAAATATATATTAATCACAAAAATTAATTTAAAAAAATCTAAAAAATCAAAAAAATATGAAAATATGACAATCTCTCTTTTCTTTAACTAATACATCTTCATTTTTCTTTCAGGTGCAAAAAGGGGAAATTCAAGAAGGAAATCAAGACAAAGGACTCAATTGAAGAAATCAAAAGGTGGAGGGGTGAAGTTCATCAAAATGAATTTATAAGTCCAACCCAATTACCCAAGCCCAAAATCCCAAAACCAAAAATTACCCAAAAAACCCAAACCCAAAACCCGTTTAACCCAAACCCAAAAACAAAAAAGAACAAAAAAAAGAAGAAAAAAAAGGGGAAGGCATCAGGAACTTTCCCCTTCCCCCATGAATTTTTTTCATTTTTCTTCTCCCTCCCGAACCAGCCCTGCCTAGCCTTGCACCAGCCTGGCTCCTACGCCCAGCCTTCCTCTGCGCCCAATCCCACACCCCTGGCTTCTGCACGCCTGATCCTGCACTCTGTGCCGCGGCCCGCACCCAGCCTGTGCCTCTGCGCGCCTGCACTCTGCGCACCCAGATCGCCTGCACTCTGTGCGCCCAGATCCCCTGCACTATGCCCCTGCACACCGAAGCCATCATGCCCCTACGCCCCTGCTGCTGCACCGAACCAGCCCTTGCCGCCTGCTACGCCGAACCCACGTTGCTTGCACGCTTGCACTCTGCGCCAGCAATCATGCCCTCTGCACCGAGCCATACCCCTGCCTCTGCTCGCTACAGTACATGCCAGAAAATCTTCATCATTATTGATTGACAGGGCAAGGCCTTTTTTATTTATTTATTTATTTATTTTTATTTTATCTTTTATTTGGGTATATATATAGAGAAAAATCAGAACCAGGGGGGTTTTGGTTGATTTTGGGTCTGTTTTGTTGGGGAGTTTCGGCTGAGCTTCGAGAGCAATAGAAGGGGATTTCTTCTGGTATTGGGGCCGAGGTCTTTTGTTGTGTGGTTCTGGTATTGAAGGAGGTCTTGAGGGTTTTTTTCCTTTGGTTTGAGCTTGGTGCTGACGGCGGTTGAAAGGGAGGCTAATTTCTCTGTGTTTGCTTCTACTCTAGGTAATTTCTGAACAGAGGAGCCTTCTGGGAATGGTGGTGAAGGGGACGATGGGAGCCTGGTCCCGTGGGTGGGATCCCTCCCATCAGATCTGGATCCATCTTACC